CCAAATACTCTCATATGCGGAGACTTTAATGCCAGACATTCTGCTTATGGAGATATATATGTCTCACAACGTGGAAAGACTATAAAGGAAATCTTTGATGCTACGAATTTTCGATGCTTAAACGATGGAGGATATACGTTTAAAAAAAATATTACGGATTTGAACGGTTCTGTTTTGGATCTTTCATTTTCCAATTCCAACTTTCAAATACAATGGAAAATTTTCAACGCTATGATTGGAGGAAGCCATCATTTCCCAATAACACTAACTTTCAACAATATCAAAAATAAAGGGCAAACTTTTTTAGCAAAAAAACAATTATTACGAAACCTGGGGAAACTGTCTCTTAATGACAACTTCGATGAAATCCAATCAAAAATAACAGCTGAAATTAAAAATTCTACCTACACTTTAAAGGAAAACCAAAAAACACCAAAAATTTGGTGGGACCCATATGTAGAGAAACAATACCGTCTTCAATTAGCAGCCCAAAAGACTTACGATCTGCATAACAATGAGATCAATGCTAGAAATTTATTAAAAATGATCAAAAATTTTAAAAACGCTGTGCAATATGCCAAAAAACACTCCTTCAAGGAAAAAGTACAAAATTTAAACAAAGAACCCAGTTCTAAATCACTTTTTCAGTTTGTTCGTGGCTGCAAAAATTTTCTATCATCTCAAAGCAAAAGCAAATGGTCTTCTGACAACAACAAGCGTTTTCTATCTCACCTCAGAGAACAAGTCTCTGAGAATCTTCCAATTAAATTTGCTTTATCTTCTGAAACAAATCGTACAGATCTAATAATCGATGAATTTCTCCTAGTCCTTAAAAATAAAAAGAAGCCCTCCGCTGCTGGTTTGGATGGTATTTCTTATAATATGATAAATCATTTATCAGACTCTGCGAAAGCTTCCTTTTTTAAAGCAATAAACCTGTTATGGAAAACATGTAAAATAAGAGAAGACTGGAGAAAAATTAAAATTGTACCAATACCAAAGAAAGGAAAAAATCTGGATATTTTTACTAACTATAGACCAATAGCTCTCATCTCAGTTCCTCTAAAAATAATTAATCTGATAATTAAAGAACGTCTGCAAAAATTCATTGATGATAATAATATACTGCCTCACACAACTTACGCATATAGAAAACACATGTCCTCATCTATGTGTATCAACAACATTTTGCACACTATTAATCATCACAAAAATATGGGTGAAAAAGTAATTATTCTTTCTTTGGATGTTGAAAAAGCCTATGATTGCGTCAAAATAGAAATACTCCACAAAATTCTGCAGGAGATCGAATGCTCAACCGAAGTTACAGATTGGATAATCAGCTTTCTAAGTCGTCGAATACTCGTAATGGGAGATGATTCACTCGAAATATACAATGGACTACCCCAAGGCAGTTGTTTAAGTCCTCTTCTTTTCAACATATACACTTTGGGCTTACACGGAATTTCCAACATCAACACTTATCTTTTTCAATTAGCGGATGACTTTATTTTGTTATCTGCTCACAAAGACTTTGATTCGGCAAATTTAAATCTACAACAAAAAGCCATCGAGTTTCACAACTTACTCTCACGACTTAATCTAAAATACAATGCTGAGAAAACAGCCGTCATGTACGTAGCCAAAGGTCCAAAAAAAGTTCCATACATCAGACTAAAAGGCACACAAATCACTCCAGTTAACAGCATAAAATTTCTGGGAAGGCACATTAAAAACAGTTTATCTCTGAAAGAGCATTATGACGAAGTAATTTCCTCCTGTACAACGTCAATTAACGCACTAAAAATGATCAACAACAACAAACACGGCCTGCTCCCAAATATTTCAATTAATCTAGCAAAATCACTAGTTTTTTCTAAAACTGAATATTGCATTTCATCAATGGCCCATATGCCTGTATATCTAAATAAGAAACTCACCACCTTTCAAAATCAATTATTAAGAAGGAATCTTGGCCTAACACCATCTACTCCTACACACACAATTTATGCCTTAGCACTTATGTTGCCACCCGAGCAACGAAGTCAATACTTAACTGCAAAAGAATTAATAAAATTTAAATGTCACAATCCTCAACTGTACAACAGTATAACCAGAAACTCCACAAACAAAACGAGCTTGGGACTAATTTACAGCAAGTTTAAACATATTTTTGATGAAATTGTGGTCAACAAAGCAGAATATCCCAGGAAAAATATCACCTTTTTTATGAATTTATTCAATTCTTCCAAAAATGCACAACCCAATGAATACTTTAGAGCAATTTTGCAGGAAAAACTTCAAAAACTAATAAGCACAGGTCATTCCATTTGGGCAACAGACGCTTCTGTTTCTATTAATGAGACCGGATGTGCAGTGTGCAATATCACCAAGGACGAAAATTTTCTGTTTAAAATATCAAGAAAAATGTCATCGCTGATGGGTGAATTACATGCAATAAACAAAGCGATTGATATAATGATTGAAGACAAAGTCAATAAGGCAACCATTCTAACTGACAGCAAGAATGCGTGTCAAATTCTCAAAAACAATTCGGTACAAAACTACCTAGCCAATGATATTATCAAAAAAGTCAACAATAGTAAAATATCTATACTCACCTTTATTTGGACTCCTTCACATATTGGTATTCCTGCTAATGAAAGGGCAGACTTCTTTGCAAAATGCGCAGCTCAAGTCGGGGCATCCATAACCACTAAGCTGGCCATAAAGGATGGCTATTCATTAGTTTATCAACACCTATGGAGAGAATGGAACGAAAATTACAAAAATATCAGCACAAGAAAAGGCACATACTTCTCCCAATTTTTTCCTGAACTGCCAACTCGTCACTGGTTTACTGGCACTAACCTCACTCCTGGTAACATAAAACTCATTAATCGACTTTTCACAGGACACACGTATGGCAAAAATTACCTGTTTTTAATAAAGGCTGAAAATTCCAACATATGCGAAATCTGCAATATGCCAAACACCGACAATCACCAAATCTTTGTATGTCCTAAATACAACAGTGAGCGGTTAAATTACAATTTTTTCACGATTTTCTCGGACTTACCAGCGATTCTCAAAACCTTCTCCAGCGAACACTTTAATGAATTGTGTAAATTCATTAAGAAAAACAACATACAACTATAATACGCACAAACCACTAGAAGAAAATATCAATAAAAGGAACTAACAATCGATAACCGATAACTTAGCAACTGGTACATGAATACTTCGGGTATCGGGTACCAACTACTTCTTGACGGAGAAATCAACTATCGAGTCCAAAAAAAAAAAAAAAAAAAAAGAAAAGAGCTAAAAAAATAAATGGTTTTTGACTGGGTATACAAATAAATGCGGTAATCCTGTATTTTTATGAGATAAGTTACAAGAGATTCCAACGGTTGTTGTTTATATACTATATTGAATTTTCATGAGTGAAAACTGTAAAGAGGTGGCTTTAAAAACCAACGAAGTTTTAAAGGTATTTTTATACCCCCACCATTCTATGGAGGGTGTATTAACTTTGTCATTCCGTTTGTAATTCCTCGAAATATTCATAATAGACCCTACACAGTATACATATTCTGGATCAGCGATCTAGCGATGTCCTTCTGTCTGTTTATCTGTCTGTTGTAATCACACTATCTTTCGAACGAATGGCGATAGAAGGCTAAAATTTTGCATATATGCATAATTTACCAGTAGGCAGGCCCCCATATAACGGTACCACCCGATATTCGGGATTTTCATGACATTATTTACGGGAATAATTTCAAGTTTCGTATTTGAAGTTCGTAATGAGTGCTACAGGCTATGACAAAAATAGTAGGCAGGTTCACGTTTTCGTATATCCCCCATATAAGAGTTTTTATTTAAATGGTAATTTCCGGATTTTTTTTGAAAAATTTCAAGTTTCTTCCAAATTGTGGAGGGTATTAAAAGGTTGGCCCGGTCGAACTTAGCTGCTTTTTACTTGTTTATGCTGATTTCGTTGACAAACAAATCATATAGATGATTCTAAATTTGGAGATACAGAGGGGCCTTTTGCTTTTGGAGATGATCGAAAAATATTTTGGGGTTCAAATCAACCAAAAAAAAAACAGAAAAAATCCTTATCACACAATTGAAGCCAATCGACACGACTGAGAAGAAAGTTAAGACAGGGGAAAATTCTTGCATTTAGGATGACCATTGGATAATATTTAGCTGTAAAATGGACCACAACAACTAACAGCACGACGGAGTGAGTAAATATTGGGCAAATGTCCCTGGTCAAAATGCTAAGGGTAATATGTGGGCAGTGCTCCGTGACATAATTTTAAAAGAGAAATCTTCCAAAATGAATTTGGAATTTGGTGTGTAACATATTGTAGTGTTGTAGGGTATCACATGGTCGGTCCCGAACGACTATAGCCTTTGCTTACTTGTTTTATATACAACAATAAATAAGATTTAAACTATGTTGGCTTATATATATTGAATTGCATCGAATAAACGAAATGAAAATACACGTTGTTATTATTATAATACGAGAACTGCAATTCTATTTTGAGATAATCCAACACCAACATTTTAGCTGTTTTATTGAATGTATTTAATATTTTATTTTTTATATATTGTTTGTATAAATAAACAAAGGAGTTAAATTGAAACCGAAAAGCCGATTGGAACTCGTGTTCCGGATCGTAGAAACGACAAGTGCGATTGATATTGTTTTCATAAAAGAAAAGAAAGATATTGTTTTCCATAAAAGAAAACCAACATTTCTATTATAATCAGAGAACTGCAGAAAATTACAGTCGTCAAATGGTCTAATAATAAATTATTTTTATCCACAGAAGCTTGCATCAGCTATAGCATAAAATTCTACTCAACATCAATAAGCATTATGTTTTCATGATCAGCATCCAGTTTTTAATAGTAAATAAACTAACATAAACCAATAGAACTTAAAGTTTACGAGGCTGGACACAATTTTTTCTTCAAAGTAAAAATTATTATTTTTTTTATTATTTTTTAACATTAAATATATGTAAATCTACAAATTATATTACACCTACTATCTAGTAACATTCCATATAAACCATATCCTATTTGCCATTGTCTAAAAAGTCTTTAGCTTCATTAATTTTAGCTGCCAAATAGGGAGAACCACCACGATCAGGATGATTCAATAACATAATTTTCTTGTGTGCATCTTTAATCTAAAAAATATTTCGAAATTAGAATGGTAAGTGAAAATTCCTAAGTCTTACACACCTTAGATTTGGAAGCACTTGGACTAACACCTAAGATTAATGAGGCCTCTCTCTTATTCATTTTTGGATCAAATCCACCCTTATAATATTTGGAGTTGGCCAACGATTCCGCATCAAATTTTGGTAGATTTTTCATTGCCTCGTTGATTTTGGTGGTCATTGCAGGCATGCGGCGCATCAAATGTTTGCCAGCAAATCCAACAGCCGCAACTCCCAAGCCGGTTAATATTATGGATGACGCCTAAAAATCATACAAAATATTGGTGACATTAGAACGTAATTTACTTAATTTGTATTATTTACCATTTTATTAACGAATTTACGTAATTATTGATGGCTGTTACACTATAATGTATCGTTCAGAAAGAGTTCAATTTAATGATTCACTTATTGGAATTAGTTTCGTGATTGATAAATACATGAGTTGAAGAATGAGGAGGAAACATACGAATAGAAAATTTGCTGTGTTACGAATGAAAGGAAGAGAGGTAATTGTTAAACCCATATTACGAATGAAGGAAGACGCAGCAAGACACAACAGATGTTTCTACTATTGCTTACAAAAAATAGATGGCACTGTCGGTACTAGTCGTAGAAAAGATTTCAATAAGAGATATACATGTTCACATGTTAATGGGTCTATCAGATGAAATATGTTTTACAAATTATTTTGCTCTTTTATTTTCCTTGCGTAATTCCGTGTGTATGCCTAAATTGCTATTACATGCTTACATATGTTTTTATTTTTTAATCCCAGCACCATACTTAAATGGTCTACATTGTCATCCCGTTTGTAAAGGCTATATCAGGCGCCATGTTTTTACATATGTAGTGTCAAATTTTCCACATGTAGAAGATGCACAGATCGTGTGATACATAAGCGACATTTCAGTTGTGAAAAGTAAAGTACATGGTAGAAGAATACAGGTAGATGCATCAACACTTAGGATAAGAAGATTTTTAGATGTTTCAAAGGAAATAAAACAACTTATGTAAAATGGCAATATTGACATAGACAAGGAAATACACATTGATAACAAAAGTGACAGCACTTATGTAAAACCCTCATCGTCTGATAGCACTTAACTCCTCGAAATACTCATGTTAGACAGCACAAATTATATATATATATATTTTTTTTTGGATCAGGGTAAAATTCTAAACCGATTTAGTGATGCCGGTCTGTCTGTGGGTCAGTAAGTTCGTAAATGGGCCATGTCGGCCTACGTTGTCATTTAGCCTTCATATAACTGTATCTCCAGACATTCGGTATTTTGACAATGTAGATCACACTTTCTAACAGAACTTAGAGTCCGTAATAGGTTCTACCTCTTGGTTATATCGGTTCACGTTTACCCATAGCCTCCATATAACGGTAACTCCCAATATTTGGAATTTGAACGATTTAGGCCACATTTCTAACAGAAATGTTTAAAAGTAGGTATTTCTTTTATCAACCAGAAAGCGGTACCTATATTTGGTGTTTGAGTGATTTTAGCCACATATTTTAACAGTTTTTTTCTCATTTGGTAATTATAAATCACAATATATAATAGTCACTGCATTTTAAAGACTTTTTACCAAACAATGTGAATATTAAAAATGCAAGTGGATGCAATATTCAATCCTGATATTTTTATTTATACAGGTTTTCCTTGACTCATGGTGGAGGGTATTAAATGTTATTTTTACGTTTTACAATTTTTTTAATATTAACAATAATAATACTATTTTATGTATTTTCACACAACAAACAAACAATATTTTGATTAGATTGTGTTTTCTGATGAAAATAGGGCCCGGTGTGTTCGAAAATGATATGTAACTTCTACGATATGTGTAACTTAATTATAGTTAAATTAATTAGTAGAATATCGACGCATGATAATATATGAATGAATTAAAATTTAAAAGGAATATGCGTGTATCCCAGTAAAAGTCATCCAGTAGAAAAAATTAATGTTCATTATATTACATTTTTTATTACTTTATGTATACAACAATTTATGGCTTGTATTCTAGCAAGTAATGATAAAAATTCATATTAGAAATCAAATGCATAATAATTAAAAATAGACATGTGTATCGAGTGATGGATTAGAACTTAAATATCTTTGTCAAGTTAACAAAGTAAAAGTATATGAATATATATCCCTATTTTATGTGCAACGTTATGTATCACTTATATACATATATGATATTAAGATCAATGTTCTCTTGAGGTTATTTTACATCAATTCATTTTCAATTTTTATTACGTTTCGTTCACTTAAATTACCATGCTCATTCGCTTGGTGAGCCCTTAGTTTAGTGATATTTTTAAACTGCAATGAGCAAATAAAACAAGTATTATTTGCATGCGAAGCTAGATGTGTCCGTAAATCAGTACGACCCCTGAACCCTCTATCACATATCGTACACTTGAATTTACGCTTTGCTTCGTGTCTGTGCATATGCTTTCGTAGTGCTCCTAATGTTTTAGCATTCTTCCCACATTCCTTGCAAAGTAGTTTCGATTGATCTTCGGTCATATTACTTTTCTTGTTATTTTTTTCTGAGTGCCAGTAGTCCATATGACGCTTCAAACGAAGCCTTGTAATATTAGTATGACCACATATTTTGCATTTAAAACTATTTGGATCTTCGTGGTAACGTAGATGTTCCTCAATGTAGTAATGAGATTGCAGCTTACATTGACAACAGATTATATGACATTTAATATTGGGATGTTTATCAGAAAAATGTTTTTGCAAAAGTGAAAAGGTTGGACGAACCACACCACATACTAAACACTCTAAAGTTGGTCTCCATTTAGCAATTATGGCATCAAGTTCTGGGATGGTTTTTCTTCTTTCATCAGTCTTTTTCAAAGGGTCATGTTCATCGTAATCGTCGTCGTCAATGGAAGAGTCATTGATATTATTATCCACGTAGTTCGACTCTGATTGATCTTCGTCATGTACATCAAATAGTTGCAATTCAGGCTCTTCTTTGATTACAAAATTGTGGTTCATCGTGATATTCTGTGCATATTCATCTGATTCCTTATATTTTGAATTGGAGTTGTACTCATGTAGGTAGGTCTTTTCAGGTTCATTAATAACCAACGTGTTTTTCAGAGTTATGTGATTATAGTTTTCAGTTTTTATGGGGATGTTATATATTGTAACATCGGATGTTGCAGCGTCAGAGCGCACTTCATCTTTAATAAATTTGCTTTGAGCCCCTAGCACATCATCTTGAAATTTCTGAAACTTAAAAATTCGACTCCAGCATTTTAAACAAATGCTTTTAATATTTAAATCGTCGTTTGAAGCCTAAAATATATAGTTTTTTTTTTATAAATTATAATGTTTTTTTATTATGCATGCAGAAGTAATATATGTATATACAAATATATTATATGTATGTGTGAAAATTAAAAATAAGACAGGGAAGTTCATATTTTCGATATATCAAAGGAACCTTATCTAAAGGAAGATTTAAATAAGGTGGCCCTTAAAAAGTACAAAAAACAATCCTTTAACAAAGGAGGGGGAAATAAAAAATAGTGAAAATATTGCGAAAGCATGGAAATATCTTGAGTGTAATATTTTTTAATTAATTTAACGAGTAATTTTTTTTATTAAATCGTTATAACTGAAAAGGGTAGTTAACTACACACAACTTACCTCTGTTTTAAAATATTTAATAAGCACCTTTTTATGCGCCAAATCACCATAGCTCAAATTTGACATTTTTCCATTCTCCTTTAAATCACAATCACATATTGGACAAATTGTTTGTTTGTAGAATTCAAATTGGTCATCCTTTTTCATTTGTTGTGTTCGAATGCGATTTGAATTTTCTTGTAATTTGTGGAAGTCAACCATAGAATACCAGCATTTGAAACATATTGCACCAATTTCATAATTAGCATTGAGAAACTACGGAGACATCAGAATATATTTGTTATTAGTTGATTTACTCAGGAAATTAATGAGAAGAAAATATAACAGAACAGGCAGCCAGAGAGCACGGACAGTGTGTCCCTTAGAATCGATATATGTTATGAACTCTCTCTTTAATTTTTCTATAGAATTAAAAGAAGTCCAACATTATTTGTTTGAATTATCTACATTTGGAAAAACGTTGACTTTTGACCAGCAAAATTTAGTTTTTTTTGGTAGTCTTACAATTTTATCAAAACTATGCCTCTATTTTGATAAACTTAATATGTCCGAGTTTTACTGCTTAATATAACAACACCCAACATTAGTGGACTCTTATGTATTCATTTAGATTTATATTCGGATTTATGTTAAAAATCTTTCAAGTGTTAATCTTTCACGGATGTACTGGACTTATGCGAATACAGTTCTTATTCTGTCAAATATAATAATATAGTTAATCTTTAACTTACCATTGGATCAAAATATTTGGTGGTAAGGTTGTACACTTCAAAGTCGTCATAAAGATTCTTGTATCTGCTGCCTGTGCATGGATTAGCACATAACCGGCAAAGTAATTCCGTCATTACGATCTGTTTTCACTTAAATCTAAAAGATTCAAATAGTTAAACAATGGATTGTTGTTTTACATTTACATGACAATTATTACAATTATTTACCAAAAAAGAGTATCTATACACATCCTTGTTTATTTACTTACAACAGACAATTGCGAATAAATTCAGGATTCTGTTTTTTTTATATATTTCCCAAATATTTTTCGACTGTATGACATGGATATTTTAAGATTCTAGAATGCCTTCCAGGAGAAGTCGGTGGATATATCTTTGTTTGTATGTATGTTTCGTAGGTCCATCTGCGAAGCATCAAAATAAAATTTCCTCAACGAAACGAATAACAGACAAAACATAATGTCCTGGTAAAGATAAACAGAAAGAAAAATCTCCAATAGCCTCTTCTGTTTACGAATGAGTGCATGGGATAACACACAGAACCTTGTTGTTTACGAATAAGATGTGAGGACAATTTAATCATCTGGAACATTCATTAAAATGAGGTAGGAACTAGTACACAAAGTTTTTGCGGCGGCTCATCAAGTGTAAACCCATGGTACAACAAAATAAGTTAAATAGCGTGAAGAATTAATGAATGCCTGGATTTTCTCTAAAAAATTTGATCTAAATTGTTCAAACATTCAATTTTGTGGTTAAACTGGTTAATAGCTTTAATGTGCGAGGCGCAATGTATAGGTTTCTTCCAATCTTTGGTTTTGAAAATATTTTTTTTTCATTTTTCAAAACAATAAATACGTACCATGGTAGAACAAAGGAGGTAGAGTCATGCAATCATATGTTATGCTAGGAACACAATTGGAGCGAACGACGAATTTCGCCCTACGCGGCGACAAAATGAGCCGCGAAAATTCGTCGTATGGAACACAATACCGACGAAATTATAAAACAGCTGATGAAGTTGTTTACTTTTTGCTCATTTGTTGACTACAATGAATTATACAAGAACACATAATTCTTTACGTTCTCTATTATAATTTCACTAATGTCCATCTTCTCTATTATAAATTCACTGATATCCATCTTCACTCAGGCGCAAGTACACAAATAAATAAACAAATTAATTAATTTTTTTTTTATACGAGTAACAGATAGTAGAGTGACCGTAACAAATTTTAAAGTAAAAAGTAACTTTATTTACTAAAACACATAAAATTCGTACAAGTATGGCCACCTTGTACTGTTTTGTTCGCCGGTCGCCGGCGTATGAAATAGAAATAAAGCTAATTGAGTTCGCGGCGACCGACGAAATTTTCGCCGGTGCCGTGATTGTGTGCACTTCCATATACACATATGTGTTTTATTTTTGACGACGAACATACGCCGCGAAAAAATTCGTCGTTCGCTCCAATTGTGTTCCTAGCATTAACAATTTTTTCATTTGACAACATCTCATTGTCAAAATTTGTATTTATAAATCCATTGTACATACACAAATCATACATAAATGGGAACCTGTTTTTATGTAGTGAAATGTGACAAGGTAAATTACAGAAAAATGCAGAGAAGAGAATACTTTTTTGAAATGATTTTACACACTTAGAAAAAAATTGTAATCGGCTGGTAGCTCCACTTTACATTTTTATTGTACCATGGCTGTACCCATGGAAATTTCCTGAAAAAATTGTATACTCATGGTACAATAAGGTCAAAATTCATGACATGCATATTATAGTTGGTCTGTTCCAGAAATGCAAGAATGTAAAAGCTTTTGCTACGATAATAGATTTGTTCCTTTATGATATAGAAAAAATTGCAAAACTAGTAGATTCTTGCAGGTTCTGGAACAGAGCAAAGGTTAGTGAATTTTTTTATGATGCGTCACATGAATGCATGAAACATATGCGCTTAAAGCTTCATGCACACGTACACGATTTTGATGTCATGCATTTTGACTGTGTATAGGGCACTTAAGAATCATTTAAAATTTGATGCAAGAAGTTGTTCTAATTTATTGAATATAGAGGACATTTACCAAATCCTGGATCCTTTAAAAATTTGATTCAAACCTTTTCCTTGAGATATTTTCAAATGAATAATTTTAATAATAATTTTAAATAATTATAGTAAAAATTGTGAACATATAATTGTACCTTCTTAATTCTATTTTTCAAATAGAAAATTTTAAAATGTTTTGTATGATACAATTAAATCATTTCATCATCCAGGGGATGGATTCTTGTTCTATGAAAATATAAAATGAAAAATATTTTCTTTATAAAATTTTTCATTTGACATTTCTTTCCTTTATAAATTTTTTTATTTCACATTTTCATAAAACGAGAATTGAGGCCCAGATCTGGATTTTTCTATAACATGCCTTGCTAAATTTAACTTCAATGTCATGCAATCATATGTTTTTCAAATTTTATTTAATTGACAACATCATTTTATATAAATCCATTGTACATACCATGGTAGAAAAATACAGGTAGACGCATCAACGCTTGGAAACATTGATATGTCAAAAAATTTTAAATGTTTTTCAAATATACGTAGATTTTTATATGTTTTCTTTTACGACGTCATTCGGAGGTTATTATAATTCCCGTTTTTCAACAATTTTTACAAATATAAATATTTTTCATTCAACATTTTCACTTCCAAAATTGGTTTGACAGTTCATTGTCCCAGCAGCTGTGTCGATGCGTCTACCTATATTATTTTACCATAGTACATACACAACGAAGAGAAGGGAACCAGCGAAATTTAAAAGATAAATTACAGAAAATACAAAAATGGGAATGGTTATTTGAAATGAAAGCAGTTAAACTCGTACATGAAACGAAAACATGTTTATATCTCTGATTTATGTATATACAATTTAGAAGTTGCAAAATGGTCAGGCTTAACGCCTTTATTGTTGTTTCTATAAAAACAACGTTTGTTTATTAGTGAAGAAAGATGGTAATGTTTACCAACGTTTAATGTTTACCATTCAGACATATGGTCGCTGCATTCTTTTTTCACAATGGCACCTTCATTTTGCTTTAAAAATAATAAATAAAGCGAATTTGTAATTAATTAATTCGTGATTTAAATATTTTATTGAGTTCTTTAAAATTAAATAAACGATTTGTGTTATTAATTTAATTAATTTATTAATTTTGCTGTTATTGCCAGGTTATCAATATAAAATATGGCAAGATGAATTCAGTAAAATGTACGTTTAAATATAAAGGGAAGACGATTTGACATTTTGCTTATCGGACAGTTCATATTTAAATTAAACTTGTAATAAAGAGAAACGATTTATTTGTCCGACCACATCATTTTCTTCTCTATCGGAAAGATGTAATAACCGGTCATAATCATATTAATTTGAAAGATTAAAACCATTTTTATAAAAAAAGGTTGACCTTGTGTCCGGGGATTATATCTTTCCGATAGACAAAAAATATTGTTGTAGGACATATAAATCGTTTTGTGGTGTTATTGTCATTTGAGGTATATGCAATAGAATTGACAATTTAAATCGCCTGGGTTTTCTAATCCTTTATAACGTAGACGTTGCAAACATTTTTTTTATGTAAATGTGCTATTAAACTCAGCTCATACCATAGTAAAATAACGCAGGTAGTCACATCGACACAGCTTGGAATTTAATTTTAATTTTTTAAATGAAATATTATTCAAATTTGTAAAAATTGTTGATAAATGCATATCATACCAACCTTCGATTGGCGTCGTATATGAAAACATTTACAAATCTACTTATTTTTGGTACATTTTTGACACATAAATATTCCCAAGCGTTAATGCATTAACCTGTATTCTATCACGGCTCATACACAAGAAATTACAAAACCATGTTGTACAACAAACAGGAAAAACGAACCTACTTTAAAATAACGCCGTCAAAAAACTACACGAAAGTTGCTGGCACAGCAAATATTGTAGGAACGGCGTACACAACCAATCAGCATGAACTCTGTGTTCTCGTTCGACCCCAACATATTAACACTGATAGGATAAAAGAAGAAGAAGCAAATAATCCTGCAAATATCCTTGTGAAAAGTTCGTGAATTATTTAACAATTCAAAACGGAGAGAAGTGAAAAAAGTTTTTGAAAATCTCTGTCTAAAAGTGGCACGAAACGATTGTGATTACAATTTTACAATAAAAAAAGAAAAACCTCTTGTAAAGAAAAGGAATTAAACGAAAGAAAAAAGATTCATTCTTGTTCTTGTTTTGTAACGCTGTGAAACCTGCTGTGTGTGTGGTGTTGATTGTGTGTGCTCCTCCTGAAGCTCCTCAAGCTTGAGATAAGAGGAGTTACGTCCCGGTTTCAAATATTGACACTTATTACGACAAATAGCCGCCAAACTGGAGCGTATTCCGGACTATTTACGGGACACGGTCGATTGGTTGATGGGGTAAGTTGAATTTGGAGCAGCAGTAGCCGTTAAAATGTAAATTTGCGAAATGCATTGCAAAAATATTCTTTCAGCCAACCAGTCGCAGTTTAATGGCCCCCTTCTATGAGCCTTTGCGTCTGAAGTGCAAATTTTTCGGGGGTAAATTTTGTGGGTTGTTATTTTGTTGTTGGATTACTTTGCCATTATTGGCGAATGTTTTGGGTTGTTTTTGTTGGATGGAAGCTCAACGATGTGATATGTTTGAGTTTGATATCCACCATTTTTTGGCTGGATGCCAATTGGCCTCGTTTTTATCACAAGAAATTGCAATGTGTGTGCGGGATTTGCTTTTGTGTCGTTCATATTTTCACTTCTTTTGGTCACCTCTTCGTCGTCATCATCACCATAGTTGTTGTGAATGGGCTTTGCATTTTGTTTTTCGTGCCACAACTATGGTAGCTTTTCATCCATCCCTACATGTATTATTGTTTCTTGTTCTTCTTTGGTCTTTTGTTAGTCGTGTTCTCGTGAGTTCCCTAAGTTTTTATATCTATACATTTTTGTATTATATATTTGCACTTTACTTTTTTGTTTTTGTCTAGGGCGAAAACGAACGACGACAAGGAGCACTACTATGGCGACGAAGAAACTGTTTCTTTTTTATTAACTGTTACGTATATATTGGTTGTTTGTGATGACACAGGAGGCAGGAGTAATGATGTCTCCTCGAAATCCCTCCATTGTATGATATGTTCGTGATTTGACAAATTTCTTTCGACGTCAACCCACCTGGCCACCTATTATTTTTGGCACACCATGCCTAACATGCTCCACAAATACTTAACCCAAACCAATTGGTCTCGCCATTGTTGTTTCTTCTTTGTTTTTAGTATATTCCTCGCCTGTTTTATTTTGTCTAATATAAAAATGTTACTTAATCAGGGCAATCTCTCTCTACTCTTAACTAAGCAAATCATGAAATGAAATCTAAAATCAGAAAAATTGCAACAAAAATCTGATACCAGATGTATTGCAATTTTTATTTTGTGTGTTTGTTGTTGTTGTGTAATTCTATTATTATC